AGAAATAGATACTGCCCAGGTGGATAAGCTGTGCTGGCTGTCCACACATTGCCTTTGGCTGCTGGTGCCCTTGGTAAGCCTTTTGCTTTTAATCATTTATCTATACAAGGACTTTGTCATGATCTCTGGAAAGAGCTTTTATTCCCAAACACAGTCTTTTCCGGGATGAAACACTGCAAAGCACAGCAGTAACGCTCAGCTGTTTGCACTCCTGATAAGTGCTAGATAATCTCGTCTGGGCTCCACTTGCAGACACTGCAGAGCCGGCTGTCTTTCCCTTAATGCTGTAAAATACGCATAAGAAGGAAAACCACTGTCAGTGGACTGATCTTTGGAGCCAGAGTTAATCCTGGGAACCAGGAGCTGCTTTCACATGCAAAATGGTGGTGATGAGGCAGGAGTGCGGGTGGGAGAGCAGGCGGATGTGGTCCATAATGCCTTCAGGAAGGGCTCAGGGGCTTCCAGCACATGGAGACAAGAGGGTGGTACCTGGTGGTCATAAAGAGGTGGGAAAGGATGCTGTGGGCACTGCTTGCTCGGTGTGTGCAGGGAGATTGAGCCACAGACACAGCGAAAGGTGTCCCCCCAGATCTCAGCCCAGTGCTGGGTTGGGACTGCTTTACAAGCAAAACTCTGTAAGACTGAGCAGAAATTATGGGAGTTAGTTTCCTGTGACTGATGGAGCCAAGATTTCTCAGTGGGAACCCAACATGCCTTATCCTGCTCAGGTTAGGCTGCACCACATCCTCCTGGAGCACACAGACAAGACAGGGTCAGTTGGGGAAGCCAGATTTAAAGACACCTACAAAATCAGCAGATCATTTGGCAACATATAGGATATTTGCCATCCCTTTCCACCCATGTTCCCAGGGCAAGGGTGAGCTGGAGCAATTTGCCACACCTCTGCTCTCCTACTGCCAGGAAAATCTGAGAGTTCATGACTGCTTCTGCCAGGTGGAGCTGGTACAGTATTTATGCCTTTCTGGAGGTGATGGGAGGGAGAGAGGATGGAGAATTCCTGTGGCAGAGAAGGACTTGGCAGCACAAATGCCAAGTGTTTCTCTGCTCAGCCTTCACCAACTTGTGACACTGTGAGGCCACACTACAATATAGACCAGTGGAGCTTGCTGTGAGGACCAGCAGCATCACCAGGGATACAAGAAACATCAATCCCTGTTATCAGACTTACCAGTCAGGGGACACACTCACTTTCTCCAGAGCAGCAGTCTCCAAAGTGGGGTGATGCACCCTAGAGGTACAAAGGACTATCTATTCAGGTGCAGGGAGAAGGTACATTTGGAACCATTAATAAATAGAATAAAATAATATTTTAAATCCAGCGTTTATTTAATTTTTATCCTGTCATTTAAAAAGTCGATTAATGTGTATGTTTTATAATGTACATGTATATGATTTACAAATAAAGGGAGACATCCCTGCTAGGGGTGCTGGAAGTGACTGTGTCTTGCAGTCAAGGGAGAGGTACAGGTGGTCCTGAGGACAAGACTGGCTTGTGACAAGATCCCACACTGTGCCAGTGTGGAGGTGGTGGGGATGGGTGGGCTCTGGGGGTTGGCAGGGTGGCAGAGACAGGAGGATATGGCAGTGGGACAGGCAGGTCAAGAGCAGGACCCATATCAGGGGCTTGGTGAGGGTGGGACAGGGGTGCACAAGAGGTGTGGGGGGCATGAGGTGATGCAGTGGGGCAAGAGATGTGCAAAGGGTACAGTGGAGGGGTGCTGGGTACATGGGTGTAGGGGAAACTGGGTGCAGAGGACAGATGGTGGGTGGGTGGGGTGTAAAGGAAGGGGTGCATAGGGTGAGAGGGTCTGGATGTAGAGGTGCAGAGGAGTGGACAGGAGGAGGCCCAGGCAGGAGAACAGCGTGAGAAGGTGTATGCAGCTGTGAGTGCCTGAGGCTCTGTGAGCTGCTGGAGAACCAGGAGCCCCAGCATGGGGAGGCTCAGCTGCATCCTGGAGGGAGGTGGTGCCCTGAGCTCATCCCTTCCCCAAACCACATGGGAAACATCCCACCACTTTCTCCTGCAGGGAAAGACCTCACCAGCTGTGGCCTGGTCAATAGGAACTGCACCATTCTCAGCACCCTCCTCAGCACCTGCAGCAATGAGGTGAGGGGTGCGGGAGGCAGACCCTCCAGCACTCCCCTGCCAGCAGGGTGAGAGTTGCCAGACAGTTTAGCCCACTGCTCTGGGGGTGTTCAGACTGGGTGCTCTGGCAGGTTTGCATGGGACCCCCAAAGTGCCCCCAGTGCCACCCCCATGGGAAGAGGAGGTTTTTGGCTAGGCTGCACCATGTCACTGTCCCTGCAGGCAGACACATTGGAGTGAAACTGAAGTGAAGCATGTTCAGGGCAGTGCTTCACTGCAAGAAAGACATTGAGGGGCTGGAGTGTGTCCAGAGATGGGCAGCAGAGCTGAGGAAGGGTATGGAGCACAAATCTGAGAGCTGTGAGCACAGGGACTCCTGGCACAAGTGCCCCTAGCACTGACCTGAGGAGGGGGCAAGAACCAGATAATGGACTAAAGAAACCTTTTTAATTTTGTCTTTTCACCAAGGAAATGTTAAGATCTGAAACTCAGCATTAGGAAGAGGTGTGGCCTCAGCTGTGCTTTGGGAGGTTGGGAATGAGCAGCTATCTGCAATGGGCCAGTCCCTTATTGCTGGGGCTGGACTTAGCAAGCACTGCTCCAGAGAGGGGCAAAGGGACCTGGACATCCTGGGATAACTCAGACTGGAAGGCCCAGCCCCTGGCCACAACAAGGCCCATATTTCCCAGGCTGTCATTCAGTGGAATCTTGCAAGCCCCAAAGGTAGTAAAAGCATGGCTTCAGCAGGTCGCTGCCTGGCTCCCTGGGGAGAGCAGGTTCCACCTTGCTGCCAGCCCTGCATGTCCTCAATGGGTCAGTGCTGGAGGATCCAACTCAACCCTCAGCCCCGCTGGTATCAGGGCCCCCATGGCCCTCCACCTCCTCATGCATCTCTTGCCCCCAGCTGAAGAGAAGGTGACTCTGCCCCATGGCTGGGTGTGATGCTGGGGAATGCTGGAGTCTTCACAGAGATGATTCAGGCTCTCAGACATCCCCTGTCTGGGGGGGCAACATGAGGGTGGGAGCTCCTGTCTGCATTACCCCATCCCCACCTGCCTCCCCCACCGATCCCTCGAACAGGTGCCCCTGCTCGGGACTGCCCTGGTCCCCACACTCCTGAGCCAGGCTGGCACTTGTTGGCTTTGCCTCTGCAGATCCATTGCTGGGTCACAGCTGTCTTCCACCGGGGGCTTATGGTTGCTCCTGGCCACAGCCATGCTGTGGACCTGTGGCCTAGGTCAGCAGAGATGGTCCCTGTGGTCCTCAATCCCACCAGAGCCAGCCCCTG